GGCGTTTAAAGGATAACGTTGGAAACCTATTACTAGGAAAGCAAAAAAGGGGAAAAAATATGGATGTCAAGCATGAATGAGCCTTGGCCAAATATCAGTGTATCACAAATAAGGGTTGAAAAATAGCACCACCAGATGCACCCAAGGTTGATTGGAGCACAGAATATTTAAAGTTTTAGACTTCAGCTCCCACAATCCTTTGCCTCAGCTATGCCCGGATAAAGCCAATGGGAACTTTAAGGCATCAGAAGGGCTGCCTACTCTTGGTTATCCCATGCTCCCTCAGGAAGAAATACTAACTATTCTTCTATTTTGGCCACCTGGCCCGAAATTTTGTGGGAAAGCCCAGGCTTGACCTTGGAGGAAAGAACAATATCTAGAGAGACCCGTTTGGAATTTGTTGAAGGTAGGTTGAACTGAAAACAGGTCCAAAGCTGCCCTCGTTATTTTTTTCCCCTAGAAGATTAACAAAAGGGGGGGAGGGGGAAAGCAGAGAGGTTGCTCATCAACCAGGAATGCGGCTCTATTTTTCCTTAATGAGAACAAAACATTTCTGTTCCTGCTAGTTAAAAGGGAGCTGGGTCTGATAATAGAGACTCAGACTTGGTCTTGTGACCTAGTGTACCAAGGATTCAGACTTGGGACAGGGACCCAAAGACTTGCCATCATCCTTGCTTTAAAGGTGACCTTGAGGGCCAATCAGTTGGCTCCCCCAGAATCCCTTACAGCCTCCAAGGGCGTTTAAAGGATAACGTTGGAAACCTATTACTAGGAAAGCAAAAAAGGGGAAAAAATATGGATGTCAAGCATGAATGAGCCTTGGCCAAATATCAGTGTATCACAAATAAGGGTTGAAAAATAGCACCACCAGATGCACCCAAGGTCGATTGGAGCACAGGATATTTAAAGTTTTAGACTTCAGCTCCCACAATCCTTTGCCTCAGCTATGCCCGGATAAAGCCAATGGGAACTTTAAGGCATCAGAAGGGCTGCCTACTCTTGGTTATCCCATGCTCCCTCAGGAAGAAATACTAACTATTCTTCTATTTTGGCCACCTGGCCCGAAATTTTGTGGGAAAGACCAGGCTTGACCTTGGAGGAAAGAACAATATCTAGAGAGACCCGTTTGGAATTTGTTGAAGGTAGGTTTGAACTGAAAACAGGTCAAAGCTGCCCTCGTTATTTTTTTCCCCTAGAAGATTAACAAAAGGGGGGGAGGGGGAAAGCAGAGACGTTACTCATCAACCAGGAATGCAGCTCTATTTTTCCTTAATGAGAACAAAACATTTCTGTTCCTGCTAGTTAAAAGGGAGCTGGGTCTGACTGTCATCGTGCCAAATGAATCCTCTCCCCTGGGGGAGACAAGAGTGGAGAATCCTTTCTGTTCCCTTGGAAAGGTGAAGCAAAAGACCAGCCAAATCTTGATCCTGGCAAAGAAACACTCCCTGTGTTGTTTCACAGGATTGCCTAGCTTTTGTGCAGACGGGCCAGGCTTAGCCCCCTTTACTGTACAGTATTATGCATTCCTGTGCAATAGTCAGGACTTGCAGCTGAGTAGCACTGGCATTGGGGCAAGCTGGCCCGTAGCAGCGCCGGAATATGGGAAAGTTACCTTTTCAGGCCACAGCTCCTGGACTACCGTTCCCTAAATCCCCAAACCATCATGGCAACTGAAGAGGTTTGCCCTCAGCAACATCTAGCAGGCGGAAGATTTTTTTTTTCATCATGGAAGTTCTGTTTGACTGATTACAGATCACAGTCATAGGATAGATCGCCCGTCAAACCGGCTGCAGCAATAATATTCTGGACCACAATGTTGCATTTGGTGTCAGTATGCAGAAGTCTTGGGCTCTGTGGGGCAATGTCTTTGAATGCCTGTTGTAAACACAATTAACTTTGCAAGGTTTTGCTTTTTTTGAAATGATGCAATACATGTAAATATATACCCTCTTATGTTCAAAACAGGGACACACACACACACAGAGAGCTCTGAAAATAAAACAGGGTCTTATATTCATTTTTGTTCCAAGAAACACATTAGAGCTTATTTTCAGGGGGTGTTTCATTCTTTTCATGTACAACCATCTACATTTATTCACATACAGTCATATCATCTTCTTCTGGTTGCTGCACAATGATGGAGGGCAGGGTTTCACTTAACTGGGGCTTATTTTGGGGTAGGGCTTATATTACGAGCATCCTGAAAATTCATACTAAGGCTTATTTTCAGGTTAGGTCTTATTTTTGGGAAACACACACACACTCCATACACAGCCATGCAGGAGAAGAGAGCAAGACAAAGCGGAGGGAGATGCTATTCTTACTCTGATCCTGGCCTGCATGCTAAGAGAGAGGAAGTGAAGTGGTAGTGAGAACAAAGTGAATGGAGCAGCAGGGCCAGGAAGTGCTAAGAGTGAGGTCCCTGCTGTGATAGAAGCCTTGGCATGTGCCTAGCTGTGCCCGACACGTGCCTTGAAAAAGAAGGCTAAGGGGTGATATAAGGAAGGTAAAGCAAAGCAAAAATCAAAGTGTGGTACTAATGTACTGCCCCATAGCACTTAAATCACCCACCCCTATGAGCTGGGTATGCAATTTATGAACCTTGGAAGGATGAAAGACTGAGTCAACCAAGAGCTGGCTGCCTGGGAAAGAACCTCTGGATGGTGAGCAGAGTTTGGGCTGCAGTACTGCAGTGGGACGTGGTGGCGCTGCGGGCTAAACCGCAGAAGCCTGTGCTGCAGGGTCAGAAGACCAGCAGTTGTAAGGTCGAATCCACACGACGGAGTGAGCTCCCGTCGCTTGTCCCAGCTCCCGCCAACCTAGCGGTTCGAAAGCATGCAAATGTGAGTAGATTAATAGGGAACACCTCGGTGGGAAGGTAACAGCGTTCCGTGTCTAAGTCGCACTGGCCATGTGACCATGGAAGATTGTCTTCGGACAAAACGCTGGCTCTATGGCTTGGAAACAGGGATGAGCAGCGCCCCCTAGAGTTGAACACGACTGGACAAAAATTGTCAAGGGGAACCTTTACCTTTACTGCAGTTTAACCACTGCACCACAAGGGGTAATCCTTCATACATTGCATACAATTTTCTATTCTAGCTTTCCTCCAAGGAAGCCATTCTAGCATGATTAATGTTATTGCTCTGCCACCCCACTGGCTACCTGTTAGCTACTGAGCCATGTTCAAAGACCTGTTTTGACATACAAGACACCACAGGACTAGGATATCTAGCAGACTCTCCATCCCCAATACACACCCAGTCGCCCCCCAAGATCCTCGGGAGTGGTCTTATTGGCTGCCCCACAGCCAAAAGAATGTCATTGACTAACTTCACAAAGGTGGGCATTTTCTCTGATGGCACCTCCGCTTTGGAACACTCTCTGCTGCATAATTCAGGAGACAGAAATTGTGCTGATTTTTAAGTGCCTCATGTATTTGCATTTTATTCTGGTCAGTGGTTATTTATCTATTAGTTATCTCTATGTTTTTAATTAGCTGGCTGGATAGCTCAGTGAGTTGTGTGTCTCTGGCTGCAGAGCCAGAGGTTGGGAGTTTGATTCTCCACTGTGGCTCATGGGGGGGGGG